TATATATATATATATATATATATATATATATATTAGTTATATATAAAATATATAACTAATAAATATATTAGTTATACTTTTAATTATGTGTGATGACATAGACCTAAACTTATTTTTATTATAGACCTAAATAATTTTGTGTGTGTGTGTGTGTGTGATTTTAGAAAATGCAGGCTTAGATATGACCAAATTATTTTAATGATATGTTTGATATTATATTAAATTAAACAATTTATTATTTTTTATCTATTTTTATGTCATATATATTTATATTTTTATTTATGTAATATTAATAATATTTATTTTATGTTATGGGTGATATTATTGACAAAAAATACACAAAAAAAAATCTATATTATTTTTTTTTTATAATATGCGGGTCTAGACATAACCAAATTATTTTAGGTTTGGTATTCTATTCTGTTATATTATTTATATTATATTCATTTTTATTTGTTTATACTTTTATTTATATAATATATTTATATTTTGAATTATGTCATTGGTGATATTTTAGACCTAAACATATTTTTTAATAAAAACATATCAAGCGCGCGCGCACACACACACACAAATCTATGTTTTTATTTTCTAATATTTCATATTATGTGGACCTAGATATAAGCAGTTGATTTTAATGAAAAGTTTGGTATTATACAAACTATTCAAGTTTGTCTTTGGATTGGATAATAATTATTAGGTATAAAGATATATATTTTTGAAATGCTTACTACAATTTTTATTATTTGTGAACCTGAGATGAAAATACTTCACATGCATGTCTAAGCTAAAAAACATGATTGAGCACGCAATGGCAAAAACCAAGCTTTAACTATTACAGAAAGTGAGAGTCCACAGTTAAATATACAACAGTGGATATTATAAATATCCAATATTTACCAATGCCAATAAAAAAAATAAAAAATCCAATAGAATATATCATGCATCCCTGGTTCTGAGAATGTGTGTGTGTCAAAATGAAAGTGAAGGCTTAAAAATCCCCATTAACCGAAGTGTCTTGATGTTCAGGAACCAATGTTCAGGAGGCGAAGCGTATTCTTTCTGAGAGTGGGCTGCCCATCACCTCTGCCAGTGACCTCGATGATGCCGCCAAGAAAGCTGTTGCCGCCATTGCCAAGAAATAAATGCATATATGCATACACACCATTCTTATACACCTCACCAACAGAGCTGAGGCATGACATAAACAGAGCCATACACACTTCATGCACACACACGCCTGAAAAGCTTCCTGCTGAACCACAGAGACATACAGTACCAGCCTTGTCCAGTTTTTCCAGGGTCAATAGTGTATTTGAGACCCTCTTCACTGGTCCCAACTTCTCAAAGTCTTGGGAACGTGACTTTTCCTGGAGTTAGCATTTGTGTTGTTCAATAAATAACGGCGTTATATTCATTGCCTTACTTTAAGCCTTTTTTATGGAAAGGTTCCTTTATTGATAATTTTTTTTAAATTAAACTTAAATAGCTTAATTGTATTCCATATTAATCCCAACAATAAATCTTTATTGCCTTAAGTAAACTATGAAATATTAAAAGTGTCATATGGTGGAATAGCATCGTTTTTTTTTTATATGATTGAACTGTGAAATAAATCTCAAATCTGATATTGATTTCTTAATCTCCATATGATATCGCCGTCCCAGTCTGATTTATGGTTTATTTTGTTTATAAGAGTGTGATGGGAGACTTTATGGGTATAAAATGTAAAACTCTAGATTAAGTATTGTTTGTCTACAATATTTCTGCCTTGCTGATAATTTATTGAACAGTAAATTCAATATTGACAAAGTTTCCCTGGTACATGTTTAAAAAAAAAAAAAAAAATTGTGATTCCCATATGCATCATAATGTATAGTTTTTTTCTTTTTAAATAAACACAAAGTGGTGTAGTTTTTATACTGTGCCTGTCGTGAAGATGTTTTAAGAGCTAAAGGCCCACAATAAATGTAATTAGCTTTTTGTAATCTTGAATGTATTTTCAAAGTTAATGTATATTTAAAAATGAGTTAACAATGTTGAAAATAAAACACATTTCAATTAAAAAAAAAATTATTTTCTCTTTTTTTATTTTAATCTTTTTTTTGATTGAGCATCATAATAATTGTCTGCAAATGAGAGTTTCTTAAGAAAAATGTGTTTTTAAACCACTAGTGATAATTACCGCATTAGTCTGTGTGTGAGTGTGTGTTCGGAGGCGTTTTCTGAAATCCATCCCCGTCAGCGGGTTGGAACATTTAATGGATTATCTGTCAGGTGATCTGAGAGGACACCCGGACCGGATCAAGTGCCTCGAGCAACAGACCTCTATCTCACTTTCTCCTTGTCTTCTTGCACTTTTTCATTCTGCCTTGCGTTCGCTCACTTCTCACTCTTCAGCCTCACAGTCAAATTGATCTGCATCCGCAAGAATCCCAAAACCAAACTGCGCGGCCTGCAAAGTGCTGATTTTTGACCAAGCGATGCCATGCCGCACGTATCCACAAAGTTACATGTGAAGGTGAAGTGTGGATGGGTTTAAATCGAGGAGATAGTTCAATAATTGCCTATTTCAAGCTCTTCCTTCACCATGTCAAATACAAGTATGTTGATGGATTAGACTGTGGAGTTGGAGTCTTTTTAGAATATGCTCTTGTGGCGTCATTGTATAATTCAGAGGTCATTGAATGTGTGTCGGAGAAAGTAAATGTAATGACCAAAATTAGCACCGCTTTCTTGTATAAATTTAGATGAGCTGAAAACCCTAAAGATGATACTGACTGTGAAGACAACCGATAATAATAGCTAGCTGTCATATAGTAGTTTAAAAGCTATTCTGTATCCTGGTCTCACTGCATTTTAAAGAGCCATCTTTCTTTATACAGCCTTGTAATTGTTCAATTGCAGTTTTGAAAGGATTGCGGTCACTTTTTCCCCCTCAGAACGGATGTCAAAATGGTAATTGCCACTTTGGGAATCTGTCTTTTGAGTTTAGCGTGAAACTGATCGCCAGCCTCTTCGTGAAAAGCGCAATTTTCTCCCTGGACAGTAAGGTCAAGTCATCCATTCAGGAATATTGGTTATTTATTGTGTCGTTTAGAGGTAACAGCCACAGATGTATTAGTTCATAAACCAGCAATGTGCTTGTAGATGGTGTGTCGCTATTGTATTTGGGTTGTCAGATACATGGGCTATTCACTCATTATGTGCTGCCAGTTCAGTACATTATCGTGTGGAGTCTAAAATGGACGTCTAGAGCTCTTTCGGATGAGTTTAATACCGTTCAGTACTTCTCGAGGTCAGGTAGAAGTTTCCTGAGAAATAAGTCTGCCTGTTTCCTGACCTCTCTCTCTGTCCTTGAGCTTTAGGAGGTATCGTTGTCTAAAGGATTGTCTTCTGTCACTGTAAAACTTCACAAAGAGGCTTGTCTCGTGCAGTCTGCGCGGCATTATTGCAGAGAGCGCCATAAAAGACAGCGATGGATATGTTTTACAACAAAGCTAAAGGGAAAATGTTGGCTGAAAGCGCTCTCAGGTGGTTGATTTTGTTATCTAGTCAGTGCTTTATATTCAGGTCTCATGGTTTGGCCATATAGCACAGATGGGCAGAGAAATCCATTTCCCTCTTATAGAACTGCAGCCTGGGATTCTGTAATTGCAGCACTTTAAGATCGATTTAAATTACTCTCTTTGTCTCCTTAACAAGGAGTTGAGTTTTAAGGTGAAGGATGAAAAGGAATACATTTGAGTCCTTGTATTAAAATTTTGTTTTTGTTTTCAATTGTTGAAGATTTACTCACGTTTTCTGCCTGGAATAATAGACCTGACAATATGTTCTCTATTCCAGCTTCCAGTTTGATGCCACGACTGAAATTATTTCTGTTTTATATTTGTTCATCAGTGTGGCTGGATCATTCTATCCTCTTATCAAAACTTTTACAAAATGTAAATAGCTGTAATCTATACCTATATGGTGATGATAATGATTATTAATAATTATTATTATTATTTCATGCTGAATATTAGGTGGAGAGAACATTTATATTATATGCGTGTGTGTGTGTGTGTGTGTGTGTGTGTGTACACATACAAGTTAAATATTTTCCTGTATGCCAGAGTTCGAGTTTGATGAAATTAATATTATTAACAGTATGTTTATTGTTTATTAAATAATAAGGCTATTTTAAAATGATAATATATTGTTCAAAATGTTTTATTCATTAAAAATAGAAGCCCTCGAATGTGCATTGCCAAAATTTGGGGTTTTGAGGGATTTCAAGTAATTTCTCATGCTCCCAAGCCTAGTGTGACCATATATAAGCCACATCACAAAGCCATTCTGGTGCTGTATTCAAATTGTATTTATTAAAAAAAAATTTAATGAAATAAAAAAAAGCATTCAAACATCACGATGATGCCATATTCAACTTGTTATGGATGATTTTGTTAGTTTACCCTAGGCTAAACTTGGGAAGTACCTTGAGGCATAACTAACATCTCCTCCCACACTTGTCTTGCGTCGTGTCTTTTATCTGTCCATGTCTGACTGGTTTAGAGTCCGTCTTTTCAGCTACTCCTGCTCTTATAGTTTCATCATTGCCCTTTTTCTATAACCTCGTTTATATTGTAAAACTTCCAATTGGTCGTCTCTCCTTTCTCATTCTCTGATTTTATTCACTCCCCCCTCCCCTCACCAGCTGGGGCTGTATATTATCCCCCTTTGTTAACGAGTGCTTAATGGCCCTTTATTAATTAAACGAGGATGCAACAAAAGGTGCTGACTGAATACACTGCTGGCAGTCAACCGTGCCGTCTTTTCAAATATTTGTTAGTTTCTTTTTGTTTGACAAACTTTCTTCTGCTGCAAACTTTTGTCAGTGATTTGTATGTGTATTTGTGAGTGCTTCTCTGATCCAATTAACTACAAAGAGGTATCCAGAGAGACGGCTTCAATAAAGAGGAAATCAACTGATGGCTGACACTAATTAAAAGCTCATTTCATGTGACCTCTGAAAAAGCCTCTCTAATTAAAACAGAAGTGCAAGCAGGAGCGTTTGGTTTAAAACGGCCCGATAATGAGATATTAGAGTGTCCTGGTGGAGTTTGGAGCAGGTGTGAGGATGACACAAACACACACGCAACACAAAAAACACACTGGAAAAACAGCCGACACGCTGCTGATGCATTCAGATCAGATGGCTAGAGAAATGCAAATAAAATTCAGTGGCTTAACTAATCGAACTGTTAAAGTATTTTATGATAATCTGCTCGCTATTTGTTAAATGTAAATGTTTTGGGTTCAAATTTCAATTCTGTTAAGTTTATACTGTTCCTATAGGCTAATACCTGAAGAACTCTATCCATTAGCATTCGGGATCATTTTGGCTGCATTTACGCTGCAGGTCTTGATGCCCAATTCCGATTTGTTGCCTATAGGTTATCCTTTTTTTTCCTTACATCTTTTAAAAGTGACCCATATCTGATATCTGCATTTGAGGAAACAACTCAAGGGGTTGAGTCTTTGTCCCACAGTTGGTGTTCACCTGAGTTGATGTCAATCACCACCATCAGTTTTTCAATGACGCACGACTCTCATTGACTGGGGAATAGCCGAATAGGCCTCCAACTGATCTAAGAAGATTGGAATCCATGTGCTTTTTTCCTGCTTAAATGTTCGTGGGTCATATCCGATCTGTGCCACATAGGAGGAAAAAATCGGAATTGGGTTAGGCTACTTGAACCATGTAATGTAAATGCGGATTTTGGCCATAAATGTGGCATACATTTATTATGTGTAGCTATTTTTAATATAATAAGCTAAATGCTACAGCGGTTTACCATTTAAACAGCCTTAATTCTTGTTAAAAAAATGTAAAAACGCAATAAAAACGTCTCACTATTTACTAAAATATTCATATATTTATTAACATCATGTTTCATATTAGCTTCACCTATATTAGCTATGCACACAAACAGAATGCAGAAGTTTACCGGAGGTTTGTCATTAAAGCAAGTAGGGATAATTGCAGTAGCCCCTCACTGCGGAACACAAGATCCAGGGGGCGTGGTTGGATCCACGTCTAGGGGTGGACATGGGTGGGTTTAGGTATTAGGGGGTGGAGATGGGTAGGTTTAGGTATATGTAAGGTGGGAGGAGTTGGAGCTGGATCCAACCACGCACCCTGGACTTGTGTTCTGCAGTGAGGACCATCTCGATAATTACAGGCTGGAGCAGTGGGCGTGGTGAAAGATTAGGGCGTGCCGAAAGGTAGGGGACGTGGATAAAGGTCTTTCTAATTGGTTAGAGTTAGGGGTTAGTTTCTGTTGTAGAAACTATTCACCTTTCGGCACACTATCCTTTCGCCACGGCCATTACTCCGACCTGCAGCTATTAAAAGGCTGATTATCACGCAATATTGATTGATGGATCTGCACTTTTAGACAAAAAGCCCTAATGGACGTTGTTAAGCAGAGCCCTGTAATCACAAATAAACGTG